AAAGGGGGAACAACCCTGGAAAATCCTGATGAACTTTTTTAGTCAACACCAGGTTAACAAGTCAACGTCTTACTCACAGAACCACTGTGGCTCTTTCAAACAACAGACAAAACAAACGTGGGAAAAATGGGGTTTAACGTCCACTTGACACGAACTAGGTCATTTTGGGACTAACATATGGTTCAATTTTATTTCAATAATACGCTTGCGCACAGGAGTCCTTAACAGTGGAAGGGAACCGGAGGACCTGGAGAAAACCCACGAGGTTGGACAGGCGATCCTACTCCTTGTCACGTACAACTAGGGAATCAATACCACGCCAGTTGACTCAATGACAGACCTTATGATAGAACGCGCACACGCTTTCATTCAGCCATCCAACCCCCCATATGAATACGAAACTAAGTGAATGTATCGTGTGGAGCCCAGTCATAATTGATTATTGGATCATATTAAATCTATTAGATATGACAATATAATAATTGACCAGTAGTTATTGATATAAACCGTGGTATACGAGATTAGAGACTGTTTGTTATTATGTCTATAGGGAAATACTGACCAGTGTATCATCAATAACCATGGTATATATGTATAACTAATAGGATAAAGTGTGTAATATTATACTCTGTTAATAATATAGCAGATATTACTGATACAAATAATACAACACACAGAGTACAATATAAACACTTCCTTATCAATCAAATCATAGAAATGGGGTTTAACGTCCTTCTGGGCTAATGAAGATGGGCATACGCCATACAGTATTCTATGAGGGAAATTTTGCCTGGGCAGCGGCACTATGGCCTACTCTTATATCGAATTCCAACTGTCAAGGGATCTTTTACGTGCACGCCAATGTAAACACGGGACCTTGGTTTTTTATTCCATCTGAACGACTAGACAGTTTTCCTTGTCAGGCCCTCCTTCCTGCAGCCCTGAAAAGGGCAAACCACATCGGAAAATCCCTATCAATGGGAGAGAGAGAGAGAAATGGGATTTAATGTCCATTCCACACAAACTAGATCATTTTGAGACTACTTCCGATTCAATTTGTTTCATTAATTCGCTTGCGCGTTGGGGTCTTTAGTAGTGGGAGGAAACCGGAGGACCCGGAGAAAACCCACAACACTTGACAGACGGAGAATCAAAACTATGTCACTTAACTCAATGACAGGCCATAACGATGCAACGAACACACATTAACCATTCACCTACCGCCTCTAAACAAGGAAAGAACACACATTAACCATTCACCTACCGCCTCTAAACAAGGAAAGAACACACATTAACCATTCACCTACCGCCTCTAAACAAGGAAAGAACACACATTAACCATTCACCTACCGCCTCTAAACAAGGAAAGAACACACATTAACCATTCACATACCGCCTCTAAACAAGGAAAGAACACACATTAACCATTCACCTACCGCCTCTAAACAAGGAAAGAACACACATTAACCATTCACCTACCGCCTCTAAACAAGGAAAGAAAATCGGAGATAAATAAAATATGGTTTGCGACTATTGATCTACATCAACCAGATTAATAAAGACGGAAATGTTAGAATTTCTAAATTAATATAATGCATATTCCATAATATATACTATGATCCTGATTACTACTATTAATAATAGTGATTATTTTAAAGGGAGATAATAATTTAACTCTTCTAAAACGACATGCAGATATATATAACGTAAAGGGTTATGCTGAAAATTTCATTCAAATTGATCCACTCTGAATTGAGAATTTAGCGATTGAATATTGGGGGCTAGCCTCGATCATCATTACTAAAGTCGTTACGATAAAAAACATAGTCTCGATTATCCATTTCATGATTTAATCATGAATGAAAGTTGAGCAGCAAATCAGATCCTAATCCAGTAAATATAGCAGGCTAGCGATGACATCGAGAGTTGATTATGGTCTGGATAAGTTAATTTATGTCTAATTAATAATTTAGATAACATTTCAGGACTAAAGAAATACCTGCAATAGGCAGATTTAGCTCTTAAATAATGTATGTTTAATATGTTTGTTGATCTAATTGAGAATTTACAACAATGACACTAAAGGTGAATTAGCCTAGTTGTTAATTCTTGTGTATGAGAGAAACGGATAATATAACTCGACATGCAGAAAGGGATTACAGAAATACACAAGAGAAAGAGATAATATTACTAATTATTACTTGACATGCACAGTCAATATTTGACAAGGCTAAAAATAATGAAAACATAAATATAACACACCTATAATAATCACAGAGATCATACAGTCAATACGACAACGTAAATATGACGGCCTGAAATTTATTACGCAGTAAATACGTTTTTAATTATTCAAATACTTATTACACTCTTCAATCATAGAAATTGTCTCAAAACAAAATGATCAATCCTCCAAAATTTGTAGTTAAAAGTGAAGATGTAGTTGTTGGCAGTAGGAGAGAGAGAGAGAGAGAGAGAGAGAGAAGAGTGAGTGAAGAGGAGAGAGAGAGAGAGAAGAGAGAGGAGAGAGAGAGAGAGAGTGTACCATCCACTTGACACAAACTACCTCATTTACGGAGTAAGATACCGTTCAATTTTATTTCAATAATTCGCTTGCACATAAGGGTCTTTTTGCAGTGGGACATATCAATTAACAACAGACAACCCAACTACTTGTGGATCGAAACCACTTACTCAATGATCAAAGAGCTTATGATTTAAAATGTACATGACTCAGCCCCACCCCTCAGCACTATGTAGATGGCAATCAAAGAGAAATGGGCGGAAATGCCACCATTTAGATTCTCTATCTGAAAATTCGCTGACTTCTGGCCAAAAGATGAGGTATGAGGTGGGTGGGTGGGAAAGGGGAGTAACTGACCTCTTCTCTATGGTCAACAATAACCTCTGTACTCACATAAGTCAACTAAACACATGGGTTAGGGTTAGGGTTAGATGTACAGTAAGGAGATCTAATACTGAATTAACATGTGTATTAGCTTCTATTTCTGATGCTTTTTAATTATTTATCAACATGTTGTGTCAATATTAATATTACTATAAATAGAAATATTGGATTTATACCCTAATTATAAAATCGTGTGTGTTTCATGCCATTTTGTCTTTGATATAAGATAATGAGAATATTGATAATAATGGCTGAGAGATCAATATGTCAATATATTCTGGGAATCAGGAGAAATCGTGTGTCTGTTTTTCATAATTGTCTCATGCATGTCTGGAGCCTGTGCATGATATACTGTCTCCTAATGTCTGAAATTCAAAATGAAGATGGAGCCATAGTGGCTATAGGAGTAAGGCATTGGTTCCCTTCCTAGTAATAAGGAACTGGATCACTAACTGGTTTTCCCAGTGGAGGATGGTGGAGGGGCGAGCGGGTGAGAGAGGGGTTTTCTTTTTTGGTGTTTAATAAAAGAATCCTTAATAGTTGGAAATCAATGAGAATGAGAGAGAGAAAGATCAACGTCCACAAACTAGTTCATTTCGGGACTAACATGTGGTTCAATTTTATTTCAATAATACACTTGCGCGTAGGTGTCTTTAGAAGTGGGAGGAAACCGGAGGACCCGGAGAAAACCACGAGGTTGGACAGGCGACACTATTCCTTATTACGTACAAAGAGGGAATAGAAACCACACCAGTTGACTCAATAACAGACCTTATGATACAGCAGCCCGCACATGCTAACCGTTCGGCCATCCAACCCCCCAAACACTAGACAGAAACACCGCTCTCCAGAAAATGTTTCCCACATACCACATTGTGTATGCCTGTCTTCACCAGACGGTGCAGAAAAGTACGATATTAAAACTCTTGTATTTCATTTCATTATAAGTAACAAAGAAAATAAAATATCTCATCTCTGTGTAGAAATTCCGAGACCTTGCATCTAGTAAACAACATATTGAAAATGAATACATTTTTGAGCTCATGTTTCCACAATTTGTGAATTTAGATGCATCAATGCATGGCCACGAATGAACGCAGCAGACTGTCACCAAACTGTTTTTAATTGTCTGCCATCAGAGTTTGACGTTTAAAAACTTTAATATGTACAAACACGGGTAATCGTAATTTAATCCTAAAGATTAAAACATGCTCTCAAATGAATAAATTAAAATATTTAGATTGGAAGGGTTTTTTTTAGTTACAAAGCTCAACATTCTTGCTCTTAGTTTTGAATACAAATTCAATGAATTAAAGGGAGACAACTCTATAAGTACAATAGTCAGCAAGATGAATATGAAGACAAATTAGCTAATTTAATCTAATGTATTAGATGAAGATATTTCTTCTGATCAATGTAAAGAGTATTTTAAATTGAACTAATCTATCAATCGATGATATAAAAGGAGAGAACTCTGTCAGTACAATGGCCACCAAATAGATAAGCTTTTTTTATTCAGTTTAATGTATCAGATGAAAATACATATGGTTCAACTTTAAACCTATGAGGTTGGACAGGTGACCCTATTCCTTGTCACGTACAAGCGCGGAATCGAAGCCATGCCACTTGACTCAATTGCAAACCTTATGATGCAATACACACATGTTAACCATTTGGCCACCCAACTCCCCAGGGAAAAAACCAAACGGTAAGGCAGTTGACTTTACTCCTTGTCCCCTACAAGCCGTGGATTGATACCATGACACCTGACTCAGTGATGATCTAAATTACGTATGCTCGTTAAATCACCTGAGTTCCCATCACACTCTCTTTTGAAGCAAAAGTTACAGTAAATACTCACAATTTGCAACCTGTCAAACAAAATGTTTTTTAAACTGACAAATCAACCAGGAACTATTAAACCTAACGTTGAACAATACGGATATCTGAACAAAAATGTCACATGGTTTCTATATTGACCAATCAACAGTAAGGAAATAATCTCATCTAGTGTCAGACAATAATTGGGATATCAAACAAAATGTCACATGGTGTCATGATTGACCAATCAACAATAAGGTAATTATCTTACCTCTCGAAGGACTATTAGGATATCCTCCTCCTCCGGGTGATGGGGGTGGGGGTAAACTATCATCTGTACTGGAACTGCCGTAAGATCCACGATCGTGACTGTTGTTAAATATCATACTCCGATTTAATAAATCCGGAACTTGAGGCATATTGATTCGTTTTGATTGTTGCTGCATTGCATTCTGTTTTGCTAAAGCTGAAAGAACAAAGATACATTCTAGTTGTTTTAACTAGTGTTTAAATCCTTCATGTGGGTTACCCATCAGGAAGTTTGAGGGAAGGAGGTGAAGGGGGAAAGGGAGGGGGAATTAAGGCTCCCAACATCACAAACAAAGTTATTTTGTAGATCTTTATTTCAAGAAGTCTTCAGCAGAGGGAGGAAACTGGATGACCAGGATTGAAACCCCTCCCAACATCAGGAGTGAAATATCTACTTGATTTCCCCTTCAATGTGATGTTCATTCTGTTTTGTTTAAATTAATTTTAATAAAAAGTTTTCATTCAGAGTCAATCAAATACTACTTGATTAATAAAAAGTTTTTGGAATGTTCAATTCCTTTCAAATGAACAGTTTTTAGATATTTTTAATCTTTTATATTAATATATCAGTTTATTTATGAATTTGGTTGATTTCGTTGGATGAACACTAGTTTGAATAAACACCTACCTTGACTGTCAACAAGTACCACATGATTGGCTGGAAAATAACCTGTTTTAGCCAATCGTCCTTCTTGTACTACATAACCCTTCCATATCCCATCAGACCTCTGTTCCAAAACCTGTAATTAATCAAAATATGGTTTGTTAAAATCTAGAAATTTAACTTATGTGCTCTAAATACAGTTGTCCCTAACCTCCTTCGCACCTAACCTTTGATAGAACTAATCTTCGGGTTGTCGGTTAGAGAAACTCTTATATTTTGTCCTGTTTTTCAGGCAATCCAGTATTTTTCTAGTAAGATTGGATATTTCTATTTTCCATATATACCAAAATTGCCATACTTTTATTGGAAATAACCACCCGATAAATACTTTTCTGGGTACGTATCTTTAAACACATTGAAATGAGTAGAGTTGCCTGTCCAACTTCGTGGGTTTTCTTCAGGTCCTCCAGTTTCTTCCCACTGCTAAAGACCCCTACGCACAAGCAAATTATTGAAATAAAATTGAACAATATGTTAGTCCCGAAATGACCTGGTTTGTGTGGAGTGGAGGTTAAACCCTCTCTCTCTCTCTCTCTCTCTCTCTCTCTCTCTCTCTCTCTCACCAAAGGACGATCCTAATTATTAGTAGTGCAGGACAGAGGACTGACAAAGACAGGTGTCAATGAGGCAAGAAACCAAGGTCCTGTTTATACCATGACCAGCACTTTAAAGATTTAAAATGAAAGTAGATCATATCATTTCTGTCCGGACAAAATTTCTCTCATAATTCATAGCACACTGCATAGCGTCTGTCGTTCTTCATGAGTCTGGTGGGTGCAGAAAAGTAGGACATTAAACACCATTTTTTGTACATCTATCTTGAAATTTAAAACATCAAAAATAATATTTTAGAATTTTTTTGCCACTCAGAAATTCTAATCAAAATTGTCTTTGATGCACCAAATAACCACAAACTAATTCAATTTATATATGTACTACTTAAATATGAAACCACATCACATCAAAGAAAAGTTTATCTTCAATACACAAGTATAGACTGTCAAACTGTTCATGAAACCTCAAGGAATTACGTCACAGTTGTTTTATAAAGAGTAAAACGCTGAACCACAGAATATCTGTCTGGTAATGAGGCATGTTATAAACAGACAGATGATGTGAAAACCATGAATTTTACATTTTAACAAGTGTAAAATGGAAACCCTGGGTATAACATCACCATAAAATATCTTTTAGGAAAATTATGGAGTATAATGTCTTAAGAAATTTAGACATGGCAACTGCCTTTCCTTTCATATTCCTGAAGAAATGGCCAGAGAAATCCCTCTCTGGCCTTTGCTGGATGGTTCCTGATACTTGAGTTTTTGAGGGAGTGTGTCTATTCTTCCTTTTCAATCAAATCTATCCCAAGTACAGCAACATGACAAACCTTCGTTTAATCTTGGGTCTTCCTTGAAATTTGGACAGTGATTAAAAACGGTTAAAGTATTGTTTGTCTCAAAACAGTATTGTTTACATTGTATCTGTTTTAATAGCCTGTTTGTCACACAATTAGTTTTTTCAGCAATATTCTGCTATGCACTGGTTAAATGGGCGTAATAAAATTGTAAGTCCTGACGTAACGTTATGTAAACATATTTGGTTCAATTTGGAGCACTGTTTAAAGCATAATGATATTGTTACACTACTGGTTGTTAATCGAACTATTGACCAGTCATAATTTGGAACAGAAATTTGCTTCCATTACAGCAGTGATAACTGGGATTAGCTCTAATTCTTGTGTAAAGTTTTTTTACTAACTGAATGAATCCAAACCGGGAGGAGATTAACTACTGTTGATGTTTTGTTTTCTTAATTCAATGTTACATAGAGCACGCACATGCTAACCATTCGGGCATCCAACCCCTGACTAGCAAAGGACAATGTAAAGTTGTTTGATTGGGATGAAAAACCAAGGTCCCATGTACACATTAGGCGTACACGTAAAAGGACCTTTGACAGATGGCATTCAAAATAAGTGTGGGCCGTAGTACACTGTGTGGCGTACGCCCTTTTTCATTAGCCCGGTCGGAGAAGAAAAGTAGGACGTTAAACCCCATTTCATTTCGTTTTTGTATGGATAACGAAGAATATAATATATATCCCTCGAATCAGTAACATTATAATTCTTGGCTGATTACAACAAAAACTACACTGCACCGAAATATGAGAGGATTTAATTAATTCGACACGTTTCTCGTGTGTTTATTCAGTGAGCATGTTTCTTTAACTCTGGGACTAACTTAACACCAGAATAAAAACAACAAAAATATCCTCCAAGCATTAACATCGTTGGTTTTAACTCAGGGACTTACTTTACACCGGAATAAAAACAACAAAAATATCCTCCAATCATTAACATGGTTGGTATTATTTACAAAGAAAACTTCATCATTCCAGTGAAACATATCAAGGGGTTATTTTAAGATAATTTATTTCTATTTATAGATCTAGCAGTAATGAGAAACACCAGTTTTAACAGTTTTTATTGTCAGTTAGAAATTACCTTTTATATTCCACTCATAAACAAGTATCAAATGAAATGGAGAGAGAGAGAGAGAGAGAGAGAGAGAGAGATAGATGGGGTTTAAGTCCATTCAACACAAACTAGGTTCTTTTAGGATCAACATATGGTTCAATTTTATTTCAATAATTTGCTTGATCTCAGGGGTCTTTAGCAGTGGGAGGGAACAGGAGGACTCGGAGAAAACCACGAGGTTGGAAAGACGACCCTACAACTGGGGATCGAAACCATGCCAGTTGACTCACTGACAGACCTTATGATACAAGGCGTACGCACTACCCATTCAGGTATTGTGGTCAAACGGGAATATAATAATCTTGGAATACATATTCTTTCATTCATATTTGTTCCATAATTTATGGAGCCACAGTGGCTCGGTCAGTAAGGCATTGGTTCGTTAACTTTGAGGTCCTGTGTTTGATCCCTGTCTTGACATCGGTGCAGGACGGAGGGCCTGGCAAGAGACAATGTATAGTTGTTGGAATGGGACAAAAAACAAAGGTCCTGTAAACACATTGGCGTGCACGAAAAAGAACCCTTGACAGTTGGAATTCGATATAAGTGTAGGCAGTAGTGCCACTGTTCAGCAAAATTTCTCTTTACGCCATATGCCCATCTTCAATAGCCCAGTCAGTGCAGACCATTAAAGTAAACCCAATTTCATTTCATCTGTTCGGTAATTTAATTTTTAAGATTAAGATGGCCTATGATATATCACCCGATGTCACATGGTTAGAATGTCAAAAACTATAGAATAAAATGTTTATTATTGCAATAAACCCAGACAGTACGTACAGTATATATGTATACATACATGTACCAGTGTATTATTGCAATAAACCCCAGACAGTACTTACAGTATATACATACCAGTGTATTATTGCAATAAACCCCAGACAGTATGTACAGTATATACAGTATATATATATATATACCAGTGTATTATTGCAATATACCAGACAGTACGTACTGTAAATTCATACCAGTGTATTATTTCAATAAACACCAGACAGTACGTACTGTATATACATATATACATACCAGTGTATTTATTAATATCTATATACTTACATGTATAGAAACAACAACAATCAACTACATACTATTACAAAACATAAAATCTATTTACAGAGAAACACTTTAAAGCAATACTGTTTGCTCAAGTATAGATCCGTTCAGATATGAATAACGAAGCTTATTATGTGACCTGGTAAACAAGTTGAAATGCACAAGTTAATAGTGCAGAAGGTGTAAATGCTATTTAATGTCTGAATAACATAGGGAGTCACAGTGGCTAAGTTGTAAGAGAGAGAGAGAGAGAGAGAGAGAGAGAGAGAGATGGGTTTAACTTCAACTTGACACAAATTAGGTCATTTCGGGACTAACACATGATTCAATTTTATTTCAATAATTCGCTTGTGCGTAGGGGTCTTTAGCAGTGGGAGGAAACCAGAGCACCTGGAGAAAGCCCACAAGGTTGTATAGGCAACCCTGCTCCTTGTCACGTAAGAGAGAGAGAGAGAGAGAGAGAGAGAGAGAGAGAGAGAGATGGGTTTAACTCCACTCGACACAAACTAGGTCATTTCGGGACTAACACATGGTTCAATTTTATTTCAATCATTCGCGTGCGCGTAGGGGTCTTTAGCAGTGGGAGGAAACCGGTCTACCCCGAGAAGACCCAAGAGGTTGGGCAGGCGACCCTACTCCTTGTCATGTACAACCGGGGAATCGAAACCCCGCCGGTAGACTCAATGACAGACCGTATGATACAGGACACGTGCTAACCATTCTGCCATCCAACCCCCAAGTGGGTAAGATGTTGGCTCGCTAACCAGGAGGTCGGGTGTTTGAACCCTGGATTGGACCAAGACAGTTCATTCAGATTTTCCGGCGTGGTTCCCCCTTGTCAGTGGCACAGAACAGAGGGCCTGTCAAGGGACAATGTATAGTCGTTGGGATGGGATAATAAACTGAGGTCCTGTGTACACATTGGCGTGGACGTAAAAGATCCCTTGGCAGTTGGAATTCGAAATAAGAGTAAGCCGCAGTGCCGCTGTCTGGGAAAAATTCCCCTCATAACACAGCGTATGGCTTATGCCCGTCTTCATTAGCCCGGTCAGGAGCTGAACAGCAAGATGTTAAACTCCATTTTATTTCATTTCAATACCACTAAATATAGCTCCATTGATCTTAATTAAAAGAAATGGGGTTTAACATCCTACTTTTCTGCTCCGATTGGTCTTATGAGATGGGTATATTATGCATAAGCACTGTGCTACCACGGAAACTTTGCCCAGAAAGCTGTGTTTTTGCTTTACTACTCTTTGTCTAATTTCAATTATCAAGGGTTCATTACATTCACCCAAACCAGTACAAGAGTTGGTTTTTTTTATGTCCCATCCAAACAATTAGACACTTTATCCTGGCCATACACTCCATCCAGACAAGGGAAAACCCCGGGGAACTTTGTCGGCCAGTACCAGGATCGAAGTCAGACCTCTTGGTTAGTGAGAGAGTGCCATTCTCAATGAGCAACAGTGGCTCCCTCTTCCCACAGAATTAACCAGTCGTACGTCCATATTTCATGTACTCATTTTTACCGTTTAAATTGAAACGTTCCCATTACATTTTCGCTGGTAAAAACGTGTACATGGAAAACAGGCTCCATTCCCTAAAATATATACGAGATGGCTCCTTTAAATTCTAATGACTTAACAACTCTATAAAAAGAATTTTTGTGATTTTTATCTGCAGTGTCAATAAGTGTCTGAATGATTCAACAATTCAATCGTTTTATATTTATGTAAAAGGATTATCAGAATCACTTTAATTGAAATATCCTGAACAGTAAATTCACTATGTTGTGGAGAGCATAATATATTTGACATAAAAGAAAACACAACCGTCACTTGTGGACTAACATAATAGTCTGATGATTCAACAATTCAATCGTTTTATAGTCGTTATGTAAAAGGATTGTCAAAATGACTTTTGAATGAATTATCCTTCATAATAAATTTCACGATGAAATACATAAAGTTCTGTTATTTCTGGACTAATATCTGGTATTTTGTTACTTCAATAATTGACACACAGGGTCCTTAGCTGTGGAATTGAAATGAAATGGGGTTTAACGTCCTACTGTTCTGCTCCTAACCTGGGCTAATGAAGACGGGCATACGCCATACAGTGTGCTATGAGGGGAATTTTGCCCGGGCAGCGGCACTATCGCCTACTCTTATATCGAATTCCAACTGCCAGGGGATCTTTTACGTGCATTCCAATATATACACGGGACCTCGGTTTTTCGTTTCATCCGAAGGACTAGACAGCTGTTGTGGAATTGAAAGCTCAACATTTGCATCAAGGACAGACCTTATGACACCCAACACCCCCTTTAAACAGTGTGAGCAACCCTACTCCTTGTCACGTACAACCGGAGAATAGAAACCTCACCAGTTGACTCAATGACAGACCATATGATACAACGTACTCACATAACCGTTCGACCATCAAACCCCCACCCAGTAGTATAATACAACCAAATTAGCAACATGGTAAATTTATGCATATTTAGCTTTCTGTTTATCAATAACGTTCCTCTTTGGAACATCAGATAACACTTCCTCTGTTATTATAAACAAATGTTACAATAATTCTATTTACTTACTGTGATTATGTCCCCTTCTTTAAAGGCGAGACTGTGGGGATCATACACACTATAGTAATCCTTCACTGCTCTGGCTTGCACAGCAAAACTCACTTCTGAAAAACATCAGATTCATAAATTTTTAATAAAGTAATTAAAATATTTTATCAAATAAAAAAATGTCACGAATAGGATTAATTAATTCAGAAACTTTTTAGTCCAGATGAAACTGTTACATTTCTTCCTAGAAATTTGAACATTATTCTCTGATATTTATCCCATTCATTATAAGTTACGTAACTGAGGCAATCCTAGGCATACACCCCTAGTAAGGTGTTCAAATTTCAACGCCCAATTTTAAAGATTATTTTCTTGAGAAATATGTTCCTTCCTATTTAATTTCATTAGAAAATTCACAAGCACCACCATCGCCACACCCATGATGTCAACTGGTAGAATGTTGCAGGAGCATTGCAGAGACCAAATGTTATTCATTTGTTGATACTTTAGGAGCGATCTGCCCTCTTCTACCCTAATCAATATTACATTTCAGAATGGCCTACTCCCTTGAGGATTGAAACAGCAAATTATGAACATAGATCAAATAATGTGAACTATTTTAACGAAACAAATATTGCAAAACATAATCACAGACCATATGATGCACATACCGAACACTTTTGATCTTTAGGAAAACCGATCTTGTCAAAATAACAGATGATAAACAGCAGTTTTACAAGCATTTAAGTTGCATAAATGGACTGGAGATTTTGCATCTTGTCAACACAATATTATATAAAGGTCATGCAATTTGAGAATTTTGCTCAGGCAGAAGTCTTATTTATGTCTATTCTTCTTCACAGAATGAATGAAATGGGGTTTAACGTCCTACTGTTCTGCTCCTAACCTGGACTAATGAAGACGGGCATACGCCATACAGTGTGCTATGAGGGAAATTTTGCCCGGGCAGCGGTCCTATGGCCTACTCTTATATCAAATTCCAACTGCCAAGGGATCTTTTACGTGCACACCAATGTGTACACAGGACCTTGTTTTTTTGTCCCATCCGAACGACTAGACAGCTGTCCTTGTCAGACCCTCCGTCCTGCATCACTGACAAGGAGGAAACCACGCCGGAAAATAATCTGGATGAACTTTCTCGGCCAATGCATTCTTCACAGAAAGGTGGGTCATTAAACCCTTGTTCATTACAAGGTGAAATGAAATCAGTTTATTGGCCTACTTTTCTACATCAACAGGGCTTACACAGATGGGAAAATTAAAGATCTCAGTTTTGCATCCCAAGTGCCAACACCACCCTTAACTAGAACAAATCTTCACTGTCAATTTCAGAATTCCATCTGGGACAATTCTAGTCCTAACAGCTCGACTACCACAGGTCCTTAAATATTGGAACCAAATTTCAACAACTATTCCAACTATGCACAACATATTGCACATATATAGTAGCCACCTTCCATATCAATTTTTTCTCATTCAACAAGAATCACCAAAACTGACATTAGGAGTTCACAGCTACTGCTGTTTAAACATTCTTCCTGAATTAACATTTCATTCAATATGGTTGTGAAAATAAAACTTGTTTTTACATCAAACAGAAAATTATTTTTATGAAGGATTTTAGAGGCTATTGTTATTCAATAACTGTGAGAAATCTTCATGCAACACATCAAAATCTTCCCATTCCCTGGTCATATAATTCATGGTCATAGACAACTATAGTAGATTGGGCTGGCATAGATTTCAGATTGTGATATTGCTTGGGTAGTGGCAAACTGTTAATCGTGAAAAGGGCAGCTGGGGGCCTGTAATTAATAACAATACTCATAGATTAGTGAAGAGGTACATCAATTACTTCTTGTAGTGTGACAAATGGTAAATCTTTACTTCAGTAGCTTTAGGACTAGGTGGGTTGGATGGCCGAATGGTTAGCACGTGCGCGCTGTATCATAAGGTCTGTCATTGAGTCAACTGGTTTTGATTCCTTGGTTGTATGTGACAAGGAGTAAGGTTGACTGTCCAACCTCGTTGGTTTCCTGCGGGTCCTCCGGTTTCCCCCTACTGCCCAAGACCCCAACGCGCAAGCGAATAATTGAAATAAAATTGAACCATATGTTAGTCCCAAAATGACCTGGTTTGGGTTGAGTGAACATTAAACCCCATTTCTCTCTCTCTAGCTTTAGGCCTAACACATGGTAATTATTTATTTCAGTAGTAAGAGGAAACTAGAGTTTATTCACAAGGTTATATACAAATGGGTGTAGTACTCATGACTTGCATGCGTGACTATTTTATGATCTAATTAGAGCAAATGGTCACCTCCACCTCAAAGGTGAACTGAACTGTACATTAGTTCATGTTGATTTCACATCATATTTATTTGTCCCAGACCAAAAAATAATAAAGAACCATCTGGTTTGTTGTGCCTTAAACTGGATTTATATCTACTCAGATCATTTGTTCAATGTAAGGGGGCGTATCATTGGTTATTGTTGAGAAAGCCTGGCAACTGACCAATGAAAACAAACGTAAGATGTAGATGTTGAGAGAATGAAGTCAAGGTTACTGTAATAACAGATGTGGGGAACGACCATTTGGTTTTCATTGAACAGGTGGAATTGATTCCCGATATTCTTAAAGCTCGGATGATTTTACAGGAGAATGGGGAAAAAGAACAACAGAAGTTGACTTGATTGCGTAAAAACCCATCAGATTGTCAAATCATAAATTCAATTTGCAAAAATAAAATATTGGGTGTCATTAATGGTGCACAAGATCTATCATATATAATTTGGGTTTTTTAAAAGTTGACAAGTAATTGTGGACGCTGGAAAGATAAGCAGAGAAGGGTTACAACAATATACGACCACATTTCAATGTGGGCTTATAAAAAGGACCCATTTGTGTACTGTGTAGTCATCAAGATAAACTCCCAACAAAATATCTTCATCCATTTTCCATTACTGAATGAAATCATTGTCAAAAAACTGGAACACAAATTTAATAGCTTTTAAAATTATTATCAGAAATCACTGAAATTGAATAGGCTGCTTTATATCACTAATCTAAACAGCATATAAAAAATTTAGAAAGAAATTGACTGACATGACCACATTTGCATGTGGGTTTATAAATTTTAAAAAAATATCCCAGCTGTTGATCATAGAGTGTACTAAAAGCAGAAAGAAAACCAGTTTGGTGCCCAGACCAACTTTTACTTTACTTCTAAATTGTGTGTTAAACGCTGAAATGTGATAAAGAACAAAAGTATTTAGGAATTTTTTCTTGAAGAAATACGCTATAATAATGCACCTACCAATGTCGAGAGCGAGATATTAAACGACTTAAAATACAGACACCCTGCACATGCTTTTACTGTGAAATACGTCACGCGAGTCCAATATTTCACTAGTATAAATAATGTACGATTGGCAAGTTGCCTGTACGATTACTTGAAATAATGGTACGCCAACAAAAAAAAGGGTGACGTCACATCTGTATTTTAAAGAAGTATAAAAACATTTGAGTGCCCTGACAATTTTCTCTTACAAACAAACCAAAGTCTTTACCTGAGTTATAGAAATGCACCTACCAACATAGGATGCACTGGAAGTGTTAAAAAACATTTGAATGCCCTGAAAAAATTTTATTACGGTCTTTTCCTTTACTTCTTAGTTAAAGGGCTGTATAGAAAATTACTTCAGAACTGACATAAATCTCTACTTTGCAGAAATCCTTATACGACATTTAGTAACTGAACATATGATATAAAATACAAATTTATATGGAAAACAATTACTTGGTTTATTTCACACTATGTTTCAACAAGTTCCTCTTGTCATTCTCAAGTAACCCGGTGATTGTTTTCCATATAAATTTGTTTTATACCTTGCAGAAATACTGATAATAATGCACCTACCATCTGGAAGCATTTAGCTACTTACGTGGGAGAATATTATAGCGGATGAACACGAAAACGAAACAATCGCCGGAAAATGCTTCCCACAATTTAGACCAGAAATAGCAGCAAACTGTCAACAGCTTTTTTTAATTTCAAAATATCAACCTTTTAAAAGATTATAAAACCTGAGCTAAAAATATCATGAGGAAATTAGAAAAAAAATATGAATCCCGGTAATACAAGGTAACGGAACTACTCACTGATTGTGACGTTGGTGATTACAACCAAATGTAGAGTTTATGATTGGTTGGTTTATATGACATTTGAGTAAGTAGCTGATTCATAAAAATCTAGGTATAAATGAAGTAATGTTGTTTATCCAATATTTTTGTTGGCAATATGAGATATTCTATTTCCAACATATTGAAACAATATGGCTAGGTCATAATCCCACTTTGATATATTATAAAATCACGCTCGCTATTTTTACTTCTGTTCCGTAATTTAATCAAATTAATTATTATGGAGAGATTAAAATTAATAATTATGGCGAGATTAAAATAAATAATTATGGAGAGATTAAAATTAATAATTATGGAGAGATTAAAATTAATAATTATGGAGAGATTAAAATTAATAATTATGGAGAGATTAAAATTAATAATTATGGAGAGATTAAAATTAATAATTATGGCGAGATTAAAATAAATAATTTAGAAATTATTTATGAAATGGGGTTTAACATCCTACTGTTTTGCTCTGACTGAGTTAATGAAGACAGGCATACGCCATACAGCGGCCTACTCTTATCGAATTCCAATGAGTACTTGTACGGCAATGTGTAAACAGGGCCTCAGGTTTTCGGCCCATCCAAAAGACTATACTTTGTCCCTGACAAGGGAGAGCCTGGCATAAAAAAACTTTCTCTGTTAACAAGGGATCGAAGACAGAACCTCTAGGTTAGCGAGCCAACATCTTACGCAACGAACCACCATGGCTCCCTAATAGAATACAAATTTAAAGGGAATAATAATATATATCCAAACTACAAACTGATTTTTTATCATTTTTAGTCAATAGTTTCATTTTGACTGTTCATAAGAAATATTCTATGTTTTCTAGAATCAATTTCTATCTTAATCACACCCACACCCTTAAATCGCCATTAACTCTTATTGTTCACTCGACTATTTG